AAAAAAAAAAAAAAAAAAAAAAAAAAAAAAAAAAAAAAAAAAAAAATCCACACCTGGAAAATGGATTCTTACCAAAATCTAAAGAAAACAAATTCATCATTTCTAAGGAAACTGGGCACGTGAGTTTAGGTGGGAAAAGTAATTCCATGGAAAAGATTTAGCATCAAACATTCACTAAAGGTGGGAAAAGGAAAATCTTTTCCAACTTCCATGGAAAATGTAACATATCAAACAGGGCCTTATTTAAAAATCATTTTTCTTTAAACTCATTTTCAATCACCCCATTCTTGAAATAAAATAATTTTGCATATGGACTCATAATTTTTCATACTTTTTAACCACACATTCTTTTTAAAAAAATCATTTTCCACTTCAAATAATCGATCTCCCAAACAAACACTAAGGGTCCGTTTGATAGGCAAATGTAGAAAGGAATTCTAATTCCATGTTAGTTGGAAAATATTTTCCACGTGAGAAATTATACTAATCAAACACAATTAATTGACAATTTCCAGGAAAACAATTCTAGGCAATTCAATTCCCTGTAATTCATTTTCTTTCCACCCAAATTCCACTATTGCAATCAAACGGACCCTCAATGTTTTTAGATAACTGGAATGAACATGCAAATTTGGAAAGTCTCCACCGCTGTACCAATTCAATGAAGTTTTTATAAATTCTGTTTAGCACACTCATCCATGTTCCAAATGAAATGATCATCGAGCTTAAGTTAGATTGTGAATGATGACCAGCTAGTCAATGTTTTGCAGGGCCAAAGATCATTAGACTACTACATTGTAGATGCTGAAAAGGTTGATGTACAATTTTCAGAGAGCTGAGAATTTCCACAACCCACCTCCAAAATCTGTTTATTAAACCATATTATTGGATCAAATTCACTTCTTTGAAAGGGAAATTATTACGTACAACAGCAAATAAGAGGAACTACAGAAGAATCGAGTTTTATGAGTTGAAGAAAGAGGTGACGAAAATGAGAGGAATTTTTGAAACACCCATAATGTTCTTCTTTAGCAAACCTCAGGTCCCTGAAATAAATTTAAATTTATTTCAAGAGGATCGNCGACGGTCAAGTCAGTTTTATATTCAACCGGTAAGGGATTCACCGGCGATAGAACACTCGCCGGGGGGGGGTCGTCGATATAGTGTCGATAAAATTGACAAATATAAGGGGAAGGATGATACTTGGTTTCGCAGTATGAAGGAGAGCAAATGGGATCCCAATCCAATCTTTGGCCCAAGGAGGGGATATTTATACTAAGGATGGAATGAGAAGGGCCGTTGGATGAGGAGACACGTGTTGCCGGATCCCCAAGGCTCGTCCCATCCTAGGTGTCACTCTGTCCCTCCATAGGTCGACTGGTATTAAATGGTTCTGACATATGCTGCTGATTTGACCGTTTGATGGCCTGCCACACGTCCCATCAGTCAGAGACTTGACTTTGGGAAGATCTTTGTGTAAAGGATCTTTGTAGAGGCGAGGTGTGGCGGGTGAAGCCTTGCAGTGTGGTAGAAGTGGAGTGCGGGCCTTTGCATCCACTGCGCGCTTGTGGATGAGTCCGGTTCATTCGCTCACGCGTGTTCAATTCGTTCCTCATGCGCTCACCTCGGCATGTGCAATCAGCTCGCCCCTTGTTTAATCACCTCGTTCGACACGTGGCTTGGGCCACGGGTGTGGACACGTGGTGGGCAAGGTGGAGGGTCTGACAGAGGCCCGTAACAATTGTGAATGATGACCAGCTAGTCAATGTTTTGCAGGGCCAAAGATCATTAGACTACTACGTTGTAGATGCTGAAAAGGTTGATGTACAATTTTCAGAGAGCTGAGAATTTCCACAACCCACCTCCAAAATCTGTTTATTAAACCATATTATTGTATCAAATTCACTTCTTTGAAAGGGAAATTATTACGTACAACAGCAAATAAGAGGAACTACAGAAGAATCGAGTTTTATGAGTTGAAGAAAGAGGTGACGAAAATGAGAGGAATCTTTGAAACACCCACAATGTTCTTCTTTAGCAAACCTCAGGTCCCTGAAATATATTTAAATTTATTTCAAGAGGATCGTGTGACGAAAATGAGATGATTCTTTGAAACACCCACAATGTTCTTCTTTAGCAAACCTCAGGTCCCTGATATATATTTAAATTTATTTCAAGAGGAGCGTTGAACTTCACGGTTATTTATCAATATATGAGTAATGTGTTATTAAAGGTATTCAAGCTGAAATATTATTCTACACGTAAAAATATCTTACCACTTTTTGCTATGTCATTATAGTTAAGCTTTACAACAACGTTATATTAAGCCTTATTCACAACTATGTAATTCCTTCTTCTTCGCTACACTATGTTCATTACTAGATCTATCAAGTGATTGTGTCACAATTGTAGTAACATAGAAGTGTAAGATTGAGTCGAAGACACACCTCCCTATAACTTAAGCTTTTAAAAGAAGTTGTTCAGCATGATATCAAAGCAAATAAAGATCATCTATTCAAGTCTCCCCGCAACCCAAATTTTTTGAGCCTACATATGAGGATGTGTTTTGAGAAACTAGAATTATGATAAACAAATTATCTCCCACTCAATTGTCTAAGCTTCTAGATGGCGTAGTTCGATAGAATTGCAGAAATTGAGATTTTACTATATTCAGAAAATCTTGAATCTAAAGGCCTGTCCAAAATTATCTGAATTCAATACCAGTAAATGATAGACTTTCCAAAACATTGGCCCTAACCTTCATGGCTAAAATTTAAAAGGGGATGGATACAAAATCCATGCTATTTGATTGCATACATTTAAAAGAGGATCAGAATGGAAGTTGATCAGAAGTAAGGTTATAACTTTCAGTCGCAATATGAAATGTATCAACATGATCAACAAAAACGACTAGCATTACATCCAAAATGACAAAAAGCAACACGTGATGCTTCGGAAAATATTCCGCCTTTTTGAATTGCTCAAATCTCACATATTTTGTTATGAAACATCAGTATATTCGCTCAGATTTAGTTACACTTATGGTTACTTCCATCCAATGGGCTTCACATATGGTTCTCTAGTAGCTTTCTTTGAGGTCAAGGCTTCGAAGGTATAGGAGAACTTGGCGGCTTCAAGTCCTCATACCTATTCGATGGAACAAAGATGAAGTAAAACCATCAGTTCATATGGAACAAGATGTGAAAGTATTTTCACCTAGATATACATGCAAAATGAAAAACTCGAGAGCATATGTGATGCATAATACTGAATAGAATTTGACAATAAAATTGGCAAGATTATAACTTCTTTTTATTTCCTAATGTTGTCTATTACGGTCAAATCCTCCTTACCAAATGTGCCACAAACATCACTGACAAGAAATGGACTTACATTACATAAGGTGAAAGGGGTCTTGGTTTTGATTCAGTATGTTCCTTAACATTCCCTGAGTTGTCAGCAAGATTCTCAGATACGTTGTTCACTGATATCATTGGCACATTAGGAGATGGTGATGAAGGGGGCTTGAGGTCCTCGTACCTGACATATAAAATGTTGTCCGTATCAAATATTTCGGCCTCGTTAAACAAATTAAATACCCATATCAGAAATATAAAGTTAATCCCTAAATATCATGCTATAATATTTTTCAAAGTAGAGACTACTAATGTGTCAAAACTTTTCAAAAGAAAATCCATCATGAACTCACGCAGGGTACGGTGAGAGATCAGACGCAATATAAGAGGTACTTCTACTCTTTGCAACATCATTTCCCCTGCTAAGCTCTGGTGCCGTTTCTGCCAAAGTTGGGGCACTAGAAGGTTTCTTTTTGGAACCACTCGGTGTTGGAGTGGGAGAGCTTGGTGGTTTCAAGTCTTCATAACTGTAAGCATCAAATCATTGGGTATATTAGTGATTCTGTATCTAAGAAAGGGAACATAAATAAGCAAACACTAACGCAGTGTTAAGGAGATAAAGGCTGGGTTTTCGTCTCTTCTAAATTTGCCAATTTAAGATCAGACGCATCAGATTCTGCTCCTGTGGTTTCACTAGCTCCAGAGTCTGCCGAAGCAGATGTTGAGACCGTTAAAATTTGGGGATTCCATCTTAAAAGGTCAACCTCATTAAGAGGAGTAATCCAAACCCTTTATAAATTAGTCTATATTTTTATCTTTATTCGATGTGGAATTCTATCCCTTAACATGCTAGCCTCTGTTAAAATTTGAGGTTCCATCTTAAAATGTCAACCTTATTAAGAGGAGTAGCACAATCCTTTATAAGTTGGTCTATGTTTTTCATCTTTATTCGATGTGGGATTTTATCCCTTAACATGCCCCCGCAAGATAGTGACTCGTTTGAGCAGATCAATCTTGAAATCCGTGTGCTCAATTTTTTTGAGTCTTAATTGGATTGAATTGCTCTTTGGAGCTTAATAGGCTATGATACTATGTTAAAATTTAGGGGTCCATCTTAAATGTCAACCTTATTAAGAGGAGTAATCCAAACCCTTTATAAATTAGTCCATGTTTTCATCTTTATTCGATGTAGGATTATATCCCTTAATAAAGACTTGTTTCACTACATCGGTAGCTTCTTTGCAAGCACGAGGTGGATTTGGTGCAGGAGATGAAGGTGGCTCCAGATCCTCGTAACTACAATGACAACAAGGATAAGATTTTTGGTGATTTTGTGGATGTCATAAATTCCTATGTTTAACAGTATACATTGGACATGATCAAAGAGTTCAAGCTTAGAGAAACGACAAATATCATCAATCTTGACCAGTATCTTACTTTATGTATGGTGATGAATGAATTGTTTTCTCAACCAGAAGAGGTCCATTTTCGAAGGTGGTACTTGAAGTTTCCGAAGAATTGACCTCAATAGACAAAGGGGCGACGTTAGATGCTACAGGAGTGGCCTCTGCATTACTTGATATGGGAGCACTTGCACCAATACTCATATAAATAATCGCCCCCTACGTGGCAGACAAATTTGAGGGCACATACCCTACCGGCGACACAGACGACCCTGTTATAAGCATGGAGACGACCCTTTCCCATGGAACGAAATCGGACCGACCCCATTTGGGCAGACGCTCCATGTAGGAGCCGGACCTGACGAAGCGATGACGAGATCCCTAATAGATCTTGTGGTGAAGTGATTGACATGAAAATTCACTGTCAACGCCGCATCTGTATAACTACACGGTCAAATCCCACTTGCACAAACTAGGACTTATAGATGTGAAAGGGGTCCTAGCATTTAATGCCTTGATTGACTAATTGATGCGTGCGACAAGAAGGGCCAACCAATTCGATGAGGCCACGTGCCCTATCATCCAACGGATCTCGTTTTTACTACTCAAGTATAAAAGCTCACAAGGTAAATGCAAGTTTAGACTCTCAAGCCTATACGCTTGCTACATAAACTTTTAGTATTCTACTCCCAAACCGACCCCCTTTTTCGATTGGAGGCTCACGTTCTAAGCTCACCCACACCCTAAATTGTTCATCTAGCTGGCTCAACTTTTTAACTAACACCTAGCTCAAGTGTGTTAGGATTTAGCTTACGTGAACATGAGAGGTTTTGGGATCTATTGGCCATATCATTGATACATTATTTGGGGTCAACAGCTCTTATAATGCAACAAACATCAATAGGACTCACACAATATATGGAGAAAGCGGTGTTGTTGAGGTTGCCTTCATTTCTTTAGGTTTTTCCTCTGCAGAAGTGCTTGGGATCTCAGAGGTGATATTGTCGGGAACTTCAAGCTGGGGTCCATCTGCATCATCTGATTCCTAAAAACAACTCCTCATAAAATCTTTATCAAATGATTAAATTTGAGAGCATATTTTAGCAGCTAAATTTCTTATCAATATAGAAAAGGCCTTGTGAATTCAAAATGTATGAGTTTCACGTTTTAATTACAACGGCAACCCAATTAGTACAGTAGGTTAATAATTCTATGAATTATCCTAGTAAAAATGAATGCGCATGATCCACAGAAGTGTATGCCATCAGAAATTACCTTGAATGGGTAAATTTCTTCACGTTGGGAAGGGATCTTTTTGAGGAGCTCTCCCATGGAAGTCAGTGGTGCTGTAGTTTCTGCAATTACTTCCACAACTTTACAGTACGAAAGGTTACGGTTTTTGGCCATGAATGCCATTAACTCAGCTACCTGATATTAAACAATGAAAAATAGTTTCATCCAGTATACAATAAAGTGAAGCCTCTTCTGTTTATTTTTAAGAACAGAAAAGGCTGCATCATATTATCATAGTATAACGTTCTTGTGGGCGACACTTCCTAATTCATATGAAGAAAAAAGAAACCTGCAGATTTGATACTTGGCCACCGAATAAAGTATCCTCTTGTGACAAAGCAATATTGTGAGTTTCCTTGTATGAATCAGTAGGTCGCTCCATTCCTCCAGGTCTCACTATCTGCAATAGTAGCATATATATATATATATCAAGAATGTGCCATTTCTTATCTTCCAAAAGCCTTTACCATTGTCCAAATGAACTCACTGTGTAAGGGAGACCACTGGCAAGTAGGGCTTCTTCTGCTTTCCTTTTCCAACAAAGGACTCCCCAAAACAAACTTTGGCCACAGAAGTAGATGAAGGTGAATAAGTTAAAAACCAAATGCGGAGTATTTATGAGCAAATCTCTAGTTGGCAGCCCAATAACTTTTGCTACAGTTCAGAAACTTTTCCATTTGAATAGGAAAAAATCCGCACTTACTTCAAGATAGCCGCGGGAAATCCAAATTTGTTTGTACCCAGAGATGTCAGCAAAATGAAGTGATCAACTTTTGCAGAAGCCGCTGCATGGAAGACAGCGGTTATCGTTGCAGCTTTTTCGCTGATATAAGTTACATAAGTTTCATCGATGGAAGAATATAGACCAACCCTGCTATTCTTTTTAATCCAATAGCATCCGCATACCTAAACCCGAAATTTTTCTTACCTGCATCAATCAGATTTTTCGTTGCCTGGTAGTCAATCCGATAGGGTCCAGTTACATCAAAAACCTCCTTCTCGCTGGCGCCAATACAACATAGAACAATTGATGCATTGCCCAGTGCAGGACCAATCTGATTTTTTTTCTCCAGATCACATTCCACAAGTTCAAGCTTATCTATAGCTGGGCTAAAGACCAAAGGAATTATGTGACATGAAATCAACAGACAAACACGAGTGCAAACATAGGAAGGAAAAAGTCATTCTCATGTCTATGAGCAATCAAAATCTCATATATAAAATAAATTCTTAAAGCTCGTCTATCATACGTTGAATTTCTCCTGCCACGTCCCCAAGCTTCATACTTTTAACGCTCTGTTAGGACAAAAAGGAAGTTTCCAGTGAATAAGGATCGAAAATACTGTCCTTATGTTAACCGTTCCACTAAATAGAGCTCATACTTGCACAAGAGATTCCGCTCTCTGAATATTCCTAACACCTGCTCGAACTTTAAATCCTAATTTCAAAAGCTCCCTGCAGAAAACTAAGACTGTTATCGATTATAGATCAAAAGTTCATAGTCCTTAAGCTTCATACACAAGCAGTGAAGTCAAAATTAACGACCTTACAGCTCGTGAACCAACTCTACCAGTCGCACCAGCGACAAAAACAAGATTGCTGTCCTTTAGACCAGCATCAATTGAAGTTGCATTGGGTGCCTCCAAGCTGGATTTCACGGTGCCTTGTGGAAGAACATCAAAGTCCATATTTTATGACGTATTAAATATTTCAAAACACAGAAAGAACTACAAAGGGAATCAACTTGTTCCCTTTCATTATGAAGACGGTCCTCATTCACTGGTCATGCATGCGTTTTCTCATATGACATGTTCTGTTGGAGGACTGGATTCTTACACTGTTCGGTCATATCCAATACTGTGTACTAATCATCCACTTATCGCACAGTTTATCTTGACTAATGAATCAAGACATGGATATTGTTTCCTAACCAACTAAATAGGCAATTTTTTTCCAAGATTCAAGTCCAAAATTGAGTGGCCTCCAGTAGCTTGAGAAACCAAACTACTTATCAAATCGTGACATTGATTCTCGAATGTGATATATCTAATAAACGAAATTAACAAGTACAATTCACTATTCCTATTCATGTTTTCACATATTTTTAGCTTTTCTAAAGTGCCACCGAGTAAGTGGCTTTTAAGCACGGCCAAACACGTCAAAGAGGTTAAATCCGAGTACAGAAGGCTCCACTATAGCACAAATAAGTAAGAAAATAAACAGCATTGTAGGAATACCGTACCTGAAGCTTGAGGCCTAAAATCAATAAATTTAAGCTTTCTCGCATCTGGGCAGTTTCTCTTATTATTGATAAATTTGACAACGGTGTGCCCACATAGAAATGGTTTTTCGATCAAACCAGTTCGAGGAATGCTGCTTACTGCAGGTGATTGAACGCAACGTAGAAGCCCCATCGCAGGCAAACTCTGTTATGCCACAAAATTTGATGATCAAAGGTTATCTAGAAAAATTGATATTGCATTATCCAACACAGGCTACAAGATGTCATGGTCCCGCTAACAAAAAGGAAATTGCGGCCACATATATATTATTTCGAAAATATTATATTAATGAGTTTAATAAATAATTTTTTAGTTGACAGCAGTAGCTACGGCTTTACTTCAATTCCAATTTCAATGGCATTTAAAAGTGTTTTTAATTTTATTCTAATATATTTCACTAATAAAATGAATTAAAGTTTAGATGTCCCAATAATTTGTAAGATTATTCTATTTGTACATCAAATGTTACACCAATTATATGGTGCGACTTGTACAGTATGTAACTCTTGATGTATATATAACAAAGTTCTAATTTGTAAATTATATTGGAAGCATTTAATAAATTTAAAGGATTTCCACCTTACAAAAATATCGAGTTCTCTAAAAAATTATCACGACTCTCAAATGTTAATAAATTTCAATCCTACAAAAATAAGATCAAATTATTTAGGGAAATTTGACAAAAATAAAACAAATTCAATTCGATTACATAAAAAATTAAGCCCCCGTTTGTTAGCCATTATAAAGGAAAATTGAGAAAAAAATGATGTTTCGAATAGTGATTTTTTTCGAAAATATTTTATTAAAAAGTAGGGAAATTTTTTGAATTTACGAACGAATATTTTATTATATGAATGTGTTGAAAATGAGTACGAGAAATAGATAATTTTTTTTTAATGGGAGTTAAATAGGGGCTAAAAATATAAAATTAAATAGAAATAAAATATCACATTTTCAAAAGTGAAGAAAAAAATAAAATGAAGAATTCAATTTAATATGGAAATTCGGAATTGAATGTTTATTCTGGACAGCTAAGAACAAAAAATGAATTAGTTCATTCTTCTAACTAAACTAGTGATGGCAATTCGAACTGTGAAAATCGAAAGCTGCGGTTAATCGAACCGAATGGGGTGAAAAAAATCGAATCGATTGTGCAATGGGGTGGTTATGATTTTGATTTTAATGATCCGATTCGTGGTGGGGCGGGTATAGTATTTAACAACGATTCCCCGTCCCGAACCGATTATCCGCTAAAAAAAATAAATTTCATTGGACAGTGAGTCCATTAACCATTACCCACAATGCCACCGCCTCAGGCCCAGAATTTTTGAAGGCCCAATTTTTTTAAAAAAAATTTAAAATTAACCTAAAACTTCCGTCAACACTTCAAAGAATCAAAATTAACCTAAAACTTCCTTCCACAGCTCCACAACGGCGCTGAACGAGACAGTCCAAAGACGGGACATTGAATTTGATGACCTCACCAAATCCAAATCCAAAACAAGAACAAATAAACAAATACCCTTGGTCATTGTCTCCCTAACTAAGCGTATTCAATTTCTGTGATTTCTTCAATTCTTTTTCGATAATGTTATTTTTATAAGTTTATTTACAATATTTTTTGATAATGTGTATTGTGATTATGTTAATACTGAGCCTAATATTTTGTTGTGATTGAGAATTTGCATGTGGATAATGAATCATGGATTGATGATTAAGGATGATCAGGATTGAATTTGAACTGGATTTTATAAATCTGCAATAGTGCAATACTGCATATTTAATGAGATATATCAATTTCTGCATATTTTGTGTATTTAATTGCATTTACATGTTTAGTTTTCTGTTGAGGTGTACTGCTTATTTTGGTTTGGTGTTTTTGTTTATGTAAGGATTACAAATTTACAATGTTCGGACTGCCGATAAGACTGACTATGTCATTTCTGTTGAGTTCCTTCGTTTTTAGATAATCTCAGTGTTTGTAACTCATTTCAGGACCCGAGTTTCACTTTTATAAGAGGACATTGACGAAGATGTACATTTTTTTGTTTAAATCTTCAATTAAGATCATTCTTGATCAGGTAGTATAATTGTATTATTACTCTAATTACATTTCGTATTTACTATATAGGAATCAACTTTGAGTTTTGACTCTTAACCTGTGATAGTAAGAGTTGTGGGGAAAAATTAAGATTGACCCATGCTAGTAAGAGTTTTCACCTATATTGATAATATTGTTTGTTAAATTAAAATTTTGTATTTGAAAGTTGGGATATTATTTGCATTTTCATTTGCGATATTGTTTGCTATATTGACTTAGTATTGTGTTTTTGTTTTTATTGACTTTTTTTCATAATTTTTTTTTCAATTTAACTGTAGGAGTTTTGACTTATAAAAAATAATTTATTTTCGTGGTTATTAATCGAACCGAATTATATTTTTATTTCAAGTTCTTTGCCCTTCTAATCAATCCTTCTCAAGTCAAAACAAGATCAATCTTTTGGACCCATAAATCTTCTAGGGTATTTTTCATAAAAATCTAAAAAGAGTTATTTTTCAATTTTTTGTTATCCATAAAAAGCTAATGCTACCAATGAAGCAAATTTAATGCATGTTTGATAAGACTTTATTAAATTTTTATGAACTTCTTAACTTGTCAAACTTTAAATGCAATTATACGTTTCTTGGAATCCATAATTTTTTAATCACACATTTCATCAACTTTTATCAAAAATTACAAAAACTATTATTTTTTCAATTGTTTGTCAAACAACCAATTAACATCCATAAAAGATGATTAAATCATACATAAAACTAAAAAAATGGGTGGAAAAGGATTTCCAATTTTTAGGAATGGCAATTGAATAGGTCTTTCTATAAATCCCATTGTTTGAAACAGCATATCACCCTTTATTAAAAGGAACACTTTCAGAACTCTCAGAACGAGTAATGATATTTATATATTATTGTGTACAAATTGATAATGAGAGAGAGAGAGAGAGGAAAAAAATTAGTCAGTTAATATAATCAACATCATCTATATGTACACAATGATGTACAAATAGCATTACTCCTCAAAATTTGTTGGTACAAAACGCAAAAGTCCATTTACGAATTGAAATTAACTTCTCAAATCCATGGCA